CGCCCGGCCGCCGCATGAAAGCCCATCCCCCCCCCGCGCCGGCGCGCGCGACCCCGGGGGCGCGCGCGCCCGCACACCGGGGGGTTTACATAGCCCGGCGCTCGGGCGCGCATGCGCGTAATGCATGCGGTGTGTGTGTATTATGCGTGTGCCAATATGTGTGGGGACGTTCTCTCGCGCGCGCGCGCGCGCCTAGATGCTGGTCATGCAGATCGCCACGCCGACGATCACGAGGAGCATTCCGATGTTGACGACTGTCCATGCGCGTGGAAGCAGAACGGGGCGGGGTGAGCGACGATCGAGGGGCAGGAACAGAGCGGGGGGTGGCAAAGTAAAGAAAAAAAAAAAAAAGACCGGGCGCCGTGTGGCGGAATTCCGCGGCGGAGGGGGGCGAGCGGGGCGAGGCGAGTCGATGCTGTTGTCTTCGCGCCGTGCCCCCGCCGGCGCCTTCGCCTCGGACCTCTCCGGGAGGGGGCGGGCGGGCGGGCGGGCGGGCGAGGGGGGAGGCGGTGCACACGCACGCCGGCGGTCGGCCTCCCGCTCGCCGAGGAGCCGGGCCACGCAGGTGGTCACCACCAGGGCCAGGGAGTTGGCGATCAGGCCGGCCTGGCTGGCCGGCGTGTCGCGCAGGAGCCGCGCAAAGAGCGCCGATCCGGAAAGATTCACCCCGATCGGCAGGTACCGGACCAGCGACTGGGCGGCCGCGGCCACGCCCCGGGGCTGGTGCTTGTGCGGGCGGGCATCCGGGCCCAGCGCCGAGGCGCGGCGCATGAGCGGCGTGGTTGAGCCCCACAGGAGGGCCACAAGCACCAGACCGCCGGCCTGCGACGAGCTGAGCCCGGTCAAGCGGTCCATCATGGCTGGGAGAGGCGCGGCGCGGGGCGATCGGGCGATCGGGCGATCGGGTGCTTGTGTGTGTGTGATGCAGGAAGGGGCCGGTGTGGGAGGCCGGCGAACGAGGCACTGAAGGGTGCGGCGGCGGCGGCGGCGGCGGCGGCGGCGGCGGCGGCGGCGAGGAGAGGGGAGGGGAGGGGAGTCTGTTGTCCGCCGCCCCCCGGGCGGGCGCGCGGCGCCGCATGCCGGTGGTGGACGCGCCGCGGCGTCTCTTGTCAGGGACGTGCCGGCCCGGCTGCCTTCCCCGTCCCCGGGGGGTGGGTGCGGCGGGACAGCGGCCAGGCGTTAGCTCTCCGGGCGGGGAGCGCGCGCAGATCACGCACGACGGCGTCGTGCGTGCTAACGCCCCGGCGTGATGATGCGCCGAGACGCCAATTCGCCCGGGATGTGAAACCCCCCTCCTGGTCCCTCGACCGGGCCGGCGGGAAGGGGGCGGCCCCGGCCCGCCGGCACGGGCGTTCCCATTCGGGCAGTGGGGCGTGCCCGGATGGGCGCGTATGTGCGCGGCCGGCGGGGGCCTGCACATGCGCGCACGCGCGCTGCGCGAGTCTGCCTGTGCCGGCGCGCGCGCCTCTCTGTGCATCGGGGGCCCATATATTTGCGCCTGTATTTATTTTCAGCCGCTCTCGCATGCACGACGGTGACCGGGAGGGAGGGAGGGGGGGGGGGGGGGGGCAGCGGCCACCGCCGAATGCGCCCAGGGCGCCCCATACTCGGGCATATAATAATCGGGTCCATATATGAGGGGGGAGGTGTCGATGTGTGGTGGGTACTTTTGGCGCTCCGGCTGTTCGGTGGCAGTCACTTGGCCAGGGCACACTCTGCTCCGGCGCGCTTGGCCCGTGTGTGGGACGCGGGGGGCGGGGACGACTGGGCCCCCTACCGCCGGACTCCTGTGGGGACGCGGGCCTGGGTACGGGCGGCGGCCGGCGCGCCGCCCGGGGGGCGCACTTGCCCGATATTGACCGGCGCCCGGCGCCTGGCGCGCGCACACGGGGGGGGGGGAGACCGGGCCGGTCAGTCCCGTCTCCCGCTCCCCTTCACAGGAGCCTCGGGGGGGGGGCGGGGCGGGGCGGGGCGGGGCGGGGCAGGTTGGATCCCATGCGCGGGCGCACACCAGCCAAAATGGGCTTGTGTGTTGGCTGGAGTGGGGCGCGCGCGCGCGTGCCCCGATCCCGACCGTGGGGATGTGTGCGCGCGCGCGCGCCTTCCACTCCGGGAAGCTGATCCGCGCGTGTGGGCGTTTTTTCGCCTTTTGTTCCGGACTAGGTGTTGGCCGGGGGGCCTGCCCGGGCGCGGGGGCCCGAATTGGTTGGCGGCCGGTCTGCCCACAGGCCTCCCCGCACGCGGCGGCGGGGTCCCCCGTCGGAAAGGGGGGGGCGCTTTCCCTCGGGCGGGCTTTTGCGCGCGGGCACTCCTCCTGGCCGTTCCGCCTGCCTGGCGGCCGGCGGCACCACGCCGGCCGACGCGCGCCGATCGTTGTTGTTCGCGGCGCGCCAACGGGCCGGGCCGCGGCCGCGGGGTCGGGGGGGGGGGGGGCGTGGGTGCCGGCGAGTGCGCCCGCGACCGGAGGGCTGCCCGTCTGGGCCGAGCCTGGGCCCACACGGTCTCGATCCCGCCGCGGCCCCCGCGCCCCCGCTCCTGTGGTTGGCGGGGGATGGGCGAGGGGCAGTGTGTGATGGGCGTTTCTCCCCTCCGGGTCCGTCGCCGTTTCTCTTGTGTGCTGCTCGCCCGCCCGCCCGCCCGCCGCCTTCTTTCCCTGGTTGTCTCCCGCCCGCCGCCACCCGCCCGCGGGATGATACGGCCCGACTGGGCCAGTGCCGCTCGGGGCAGGCACAGGGGCAAGAGTGTGGCCGGTTATTCCCCCCCCCCACCCCCCGCCCGCCCGGCGCTCCTCCCCGGCCCTCCGAGAGGCGGGCGTCCGGTGTTGGCTCGCGTCTATTTCGGGTACCACCGTGCAGGGCCGGGCTCAGATACCCGCTGC